GAAGTCTTCATAATAAAAAGTCATGCAGCTTTTTCAATGTTCTATGCAGATGCACTTCCCTACAAATCACTCTAGAATGATTATTTATTCATCAATAGTTATTCAGCAGGTGAAAATTCTTGTTTTTTCTTCCATATAGCAGTAAATCAAAGTCAGTTTTTTCTTTTTTCAATATTGTGCAGCCACACTAATACACAGTGTGGCTGTAATTATCACAGCTATCATCAGCCTCGCTTAACTCGTAAACACTGAAGCCACAAAGCACCCACAAAGACCTTTATACACGTGGCTCTCTGCTTACTTTATATGGCTCGGTAAAGGACTGAAAAGCTGCCTTTCAACCTATGCAAAGTGGCTCTGCTGCTCTGCCCACAAGTAGTTTCATGATGCAGCATGACAAACAATTGCGGTTACTTTTATTAGAGCTTTTTGAGTCATCTGACTTGCATGTACTGGTGCAGATACATCACATGGAACACGTACTTTCTCTATTTTTTAGGTAAATGGCTGAGATGTTGAATTTTAACCAAGAGGACCAGTGGTGAACAGAGTCGGAAAGAATATTTGCCCATTCATCAGTCTTTTTCTATTCTCGTTCTGGCAAATGTCCTTGAATTTTGTGTGTCTGCCAGCAGGACTTCATTTTTTTTCATGAAGTGCAGTGGGCATTAAAGGCTTTGCAAGACATTTGTTTGGAGTGGTATTGCGCACATCGTGGTCCCATCAGTGACTCAGCAGGCAGTTGGTTCCTTTAGTGGGTGCCTGGTGTTACGTCAGTGAGAAAACAAATTTGCATTTGTATTGTGAAAGGAGAACGTGAAGAAAAAAAAAAGAGCACCACGCAAAGGTTTTAGACCTCTGAGGATTCTGTCCAGTACTGACGTGGTGAAAGAACTTTTCAGACCCAAATGGGAAGCGTAGAAAAACACCTTTTGACATGTGTCAGCGTAGACTATAAATGAAATGCTCTCCTCGAGGATTATTTTACTCTCGCATTCCGCAGGATTTCCTCAAAGTAACTGTGGAGGATACTTTGGCAGCCTGTCAGTCTTGTCATTCTGCCTCTTCTTGATCTCCTCTAACTTTTCCCAGAGAGCTGCTATCTTATCTGAACTCTGTGTACCACTTGGTTTAGGTGTGGGAGTGAGCAATTAATGCAATAAAAATGTAAAAAAGCCAAATATTTGCTCTTTTTTTTTTTTTTTTAAGGCATGCCCTATTTTCTCTGTTGTGTATTTACTGTCATGTAAACTCTTTCATATAGCAAAGGTAGTTCTGACTCGATTAGTTGATGGAATAATGGGCAGAAAACTCCATTACCGTAGTAATTGACTACACTTATCTTAGTTGCATTCATGATGGGTGTAGAACAGTAGACAAACCTCTTAATTTACTGATGCCTGCTATTTACTTAACACCTCTGTGTGGCTGTGTGTCAACAAAAAACTGATCTTTATAGGTGCCATAAAAGAAGCTTTTTATTGTAGATCGCACTAGTGGAATACTTTATCAAGTTTGTCCCCAGCCCGCTATGTGAAAGTTGTGTTTGACCCATTACTCACATTAATGACTGGCAGCTGATTAAAGGTTGTTATGTGTCCACCTGAGCCTTTACGGGTTTGAATCTGTGTTTTATACGGCCAAGCTGGTCTGGCTCAGGTCCATAGACTGTATAGAAAAGAGCAACGTTGCCACTGTAACCAACTGTGTGTAAATTAGCATTCTGAAGCTTTGAGTTTGGAGTTTGGCTGTTGCCATCTTGTTCTTTTGAAAGTGGGTGTAATGAGCGAGGGGTGGACCTGACTGAGAACTTGAGGACACTGTGCACGCTGATACTACAGCGATCACAAAGTAGCGCTGCCTAAAAATATACCCTGCCTGATTGTCTATTTTTACTATAATGTCCAAAATAAACATCATAAAGGACATTTGAAAATAATAATTGAGACCATAAACCCATAAAGAAAATATTTACTGAGGTAAGCAGTGAAGGCAGTTTTTATGTTATTTATATATTAATTTTTTAATAAAAGGTTTTATAAAATCAAGCTGCAGGTTTTGCAACCAAAGTACTCGCCCCCTGCTGGCCACTAGAAAGAATGCATGTTAAAGGCACCTCTGTGTTGGCTTTACTTTTCATGCCTTGACATATATTTAATGGCAATCTGATGCAAGACTTTAGTGGTGAATATATTGTTATTATCATTGTGAAAAATAGATTGTCAAAGATGGATTCGGTTTTCTGTTTTTCATATTTCAACTCACCATAATTAGAGACTATTTGGTCTACATGTCCGATATTACAGATTAGGAATTAATGATAGAAATAACCAGGGACAAAAAAAAATCAGGCTTTCATCTTTTAGTTGCTGACATATTGTCATTCAAACAAAGCCTTGAATTACAATGTGCAGAAACTAGAGGCTTAGAAAATTCAGAAACGTGAACGCTGACCACTAGTGTTTGATATTCCAGGCATGCTGATCTTCACCCTCTATATTGTCTTTACTGTGCTTTTGTGCCAGTGTTCACAAGGGAGGAGGTGCAAATTGTTTGTTCCCTCTGACAACTCCTGTATCCCTCTACCCATCACTTGAACGTGTGATAAGAATCTACGTAGACAAACAGTGAGTGCATGTGCCAAACGTGAATCTCGCACAGGGATTTTTTTCTTTCCATGACAGAAAAAAGGCCTTGAGCTGGAAGCATTTGTAGCAGACGGTCCCTCAACACCGACTACCATTATGTATTCAATGTCAAACTCCCAGCAGTCCGTCAGGCTCTCTGAGCACACAACAGAAATGTGTGAAAGCGCTGGTGGATTTTGATCATGAGCTCCACGTCTGCTATATGTCTGTGTCAGACAAATACAGTTGTTCAGGATGTATCTTTGAATGCTTTCAGGTTGATTTCAAAGGAATCTGGTGCAGTCAAGCATCAATGGTAACATCTGTCGTAGAGCGAGCACATGATATTTTTTCAAGCTGTGTTAAAATCTGGGTGTGCTGTTTTTACCTTTTATCAGATAGGAAGCTCACTGATCTGTAACTGAGTGTGTGAAATGTCAAAACAACCTCAGCTGCACATACAAAATTCACATAATCTTTGTCATTGCTGCTGATGAGTTTTTCCTCTAGCAGCAGTTTCATGCTTCCTGCTCCAGAGTCAGCAGGAGGCTCTGAGTTTCTGGTACTTATTTGCAGTACCTACATGCAGCGCACTGAGCTCCCCACTGATCACACACCTAGGTAGAAAACTCAGGAACTTCTAATTCCTCAGTCAATTTACACTTTCTCTTAGGTATCTTTACTAGTAATTCCACTAACTAAGCTTCTCTTTATCTGTCCCTTAATGGCAGTTACCAGCATGTAGTTGCAGGTCTGTTGGTTTCTGCTTGGCTGTATAATATTCTCATGTATGGTGGATTTTTGCATGCATACGCAAAAGTCATTCAGCTATGTTTCCTTTGCTCTCTTACATATTTTAAGAAGTTTGTTGGACCAGTAGTTTAGGCTTCCAAAATGCTTTGTTAAAAAAAAAGATAATTCAAGGAGTAGTTTAACATTTTGGATAAAAAAAATCAACTCTCGTTCAGTTCAGGATGTTACTCGTATTCTTACTGGTTTTAGTAGATAGCATTACAACCCTCCATTCTTGGCCTCTTTTTCCGCTGGCTCTCTGTTTGATTTATTGATTGGTTTCCGTTTATTAATTGATTTGAAGATTCAAGTGATCATTTTTTAAAGCGTTCTGGCTCCAAGCTTTATAGTATATATGAGGACCCTCATATGAGCCACACTTAGTTTAAGTCTAAAAGTGACCAAGCTTTTTCCAGCCGGGCCCCTCGGGTTTGGAACCAACTCGATGAAACGATAAGACGAGCAACAACAACAATTCATTTTTTAAAACGTTAAGGACTATAATATATTTTTGAAAACTTTAGGTTTATATTTCTGATTAAATAAAAAGAAAAATTAGTCTTTTTTTTCTTCCTTTTCTTTTTTAAACAGGCCTGCAAACAGGGTTTAAAATTCATTGTAGTATCTTACTTTACATTAGCCTTAAACTAATTATAAACTGCCTGCATGCTGTTCTGGTAGCTACCAGACAGATAACAGATAACAACATCAGTGTAGTACTGTTGCTAAATTAGATTCTTTTATAAATTATAGGAGCTCACTTTGGAGGAAAAAGGTTTTACTGACATACAGTACAATGTATTACAAACCTAAATGTCCTTTTATTGGCTCTCCAGAACTCATTTTCTACACATAAAGGGAAAACTAAGCTAAATCAAATGACTGTAGTTTTGTATGGGGAAAACACTCACTGGACACAAAAAGGTTTAAACAAGCTTTTCCTGTGACAGCGCATGCTCGCAGAAAGGCATACTGCATAGGACAGTGCTGCACTGCAGTACTATCAAAGGCTGATTAGTTATCAAAAACAGGTAGGATGTATGAATTAGACACAAGTTTTAAGTTTATGCCAAGGCCACACACACATACATAGTGCTCCAAGAAGATGAATGCTTCGAGGTGTTTGGTCGTCAGCCATGATCCTTTTTAATGCTGCCGGTGTTCTTTGGTGGGTTTGTTTGCTATGGCTTTCTCTGCAGGGGCATTTAGTTCTAAGCTACCAAAGCAGGACGGCCGGAAACTGAAAGTGTGCACACACACACGCACACACACACAGGTGGAAGTGGTGCCTCTGCCATGGGTCTCTTTTCAAAGTCCCTAAAAGGAAGAAAGCAGAACAAAAAGAAAGTGTGTGTGTGATTCCAAGCCAGACTTTTAGGCAAAGCCAGCTCTCTACATCTCTCTCTGTCAAAACCACACATGGACATACACAGACAAGCACAGCCATCTGTAGCTCCTCCAGAGTTCTCAGTTAAAAAAAAAAAAAAAAAAGCTTCACACTGAAAACTAACACTAAATATATTTGTTGTGATGTTTCTGAAAAGTCTTGGAAAGTCAATTCTGTCTCCCTTCTTTTGGCAGTTCATAATAGAAGACATGAAGCAGCAGCAAACCAACAAACACAGCAACCTGCACCGCGAAGACCAGCACATCACTGTGGAGGAGCTGTGGAGGAGCTGGAAAACCTCTGAAGGTAAAGCAAACAAGTTTACTGTCTCTGCAACAAGGACACAATAAAAACAATCAAACACTTGTTGGTACTTTTAATTCCCAAGGAGAGCTGTTCACACATTAACCACCAACAAAATAATGGACGATATTTGCCAGTTTCTGTGCTCACAGTCACACAACTGGAAGGCATGCTGGGCGCTATCATAATAATAAGAAATAATAACTGTGTTTATACACAACAGCAGTATTGCTTAACAAGGTTTTGTAGTGTTTTATCATAAAACAACACAAAACGGTGCATGAAAAATGTGCCAAGATAATGAGATGACACCACAAAATAAAATGAAAATATAGACATAAAAAGTGAGCGTCACCCCCCATTAAGTTGACACAGGCGTGGTTTCTACGAAACAGTTCCGCTTTAGTCTCTCTGTGTTTTTCTGTATTTGTTCAATAATGCTTAGTAGACTTCCCGGAAAAGCACCTTAAGTGACTTTGCAATTCTCTCACAACTCAAGTGCTCTTCTGCAAGCTTGTAGCTTTAAAGGCTGAAGGAGTGAGCAAACAGTGACATATCCTCAAGGGCATATTTACCAAGAATCAAGTGTGAGCTTTTATATTTTCTTCTGCAGAATGAGTCATGCAATATCAAGTGAACTCAAAGTGTAAATAACAGACACTTTATTCATTAAAACCCATTTGAAATTCTGAGTGACTTCAATCATTGTTTATTGGTAATGTTTTAATTATCAGGCTGCTCAATGACAAATTGAAAACTTTCCTTGTAAATGGCAAAGTGAAATTTGTAGTTTTATTGCAATTAGGGCGAATGAACAACCTTTTGGAAGAGGCACTCTCTCCCTCTTATCTTTTAACAACACACATGTGGTTTATCTTCAAACCCGCACCCCAAATCTGTCGCTCTCAGCCTGTTTGTACCAGTGTTTGTTTATCGCTGGACAAATCTGTGGAGCTAAGTGGTTTTTAGAACAAGTTCTTAACGTGCGCTCACACTTTCTTGGTATCTGAAATAAGAACACACTCTACAGCAAATAAACGCCCTAGCTTTTGGTTTAGCTGTTACATGGTTGTAAGCAGGGCTGTAGTGGTCAAATAAAGTGCGTAAAGCCTGCCTTAGCTCAGGTGCTCTAATGTGGCCTCTTAGCAGACTTCATTTAAAAAAAAACAACAAATGTTGAATCAAACACAGTCTCTGTGGTCTTCATTTTAGATTGTTTTGAATATAACTGAATAATGGCACTAATGTAAACATCCTGTAAAAAGTATGAGAAAAAGTAAATAAAAATGTTTCATAATGTTGGTGTTAGAAATCTGTGATGCAACAGAACCAAGCTCACTTGAAATCGCGTTCACACCAAGTCACAAAAGACCCTAACGAACCCCTCTGTGGCAGGGGGAGCACTAACGACCCACATAACGAGGGGGAGGAGCAACAAACCCCCAATTGAAACCAAAACTCAGGTGTTAATGGCTCCTTAAGGATATAAGTATCTGGAACTCCCAACTGAAGCCTCTTCAAGGAACTCAAGCAAGTCCAGTTGTTACGATTAAACTACAAGAATAACCACGTCCTGGATGACTGAGAATCTTCACAGACAAGCTCACTGTCTTTTTTTTTTTTTTGGCTCAACCCTACAACATCTGCACACTGTAGCATGTGAAAAGCTGCATTCTGAAGCACATCCATGCTGCGAATGGTCCACATACGTTCTGTACTCAATGTAGGAAAAATGTTAGACCTGCTGTTTTTTGTCCTTTCAGTTGACAGCACCTCAGCCCTGGGCTGGTTCTGAATCAGTTTCCTTTTTTCCCTTTAATTCTTAAGTCATTTATACGATTTTCAATCTCTTCATGTTTTTGTTTTTTGTCACTGTTGCAAAAAAAACTTTCTCCCTTTTTCCTTATCCCTTCACTTACTCTCTTGAAATATAAAAAACATTTAAAAAAATCAGAAAGAACATCAGGTAGTAGTCAAGTGCCAACTGAGTTCTTTTGGTGGCTTTACAAAAAAACATTGTTAAATTAAAGACACGGAATGTAATTTATAGCTTGTCCATGTTTTTACTAAATCGTCACAAAACCTCTGATTTATCTCGTAACCCTTTGGAGAGACTGGATAAAACTAATTAACAGTATATGAAGTCATTAACCCCACTTAACCATTAAATGTGCAACGATTTATCGGTCAACACTGGCTTTATTTAATGTTTTGTTGTTCTTCCCCTTTTTCAGTCCACAACTGGACCGTAGACGACACGGTGCAGTGGCTGAAGGACTCGGTGGAGCTGCCGCAGTACGAGAAGAACTTCCGGGACTTCCGGCTCACAGGGAACACTTTACCTCGGTTAGTACAGCTCAGAGATGCTCATATTGTCTGTCACAGCAGCAGTGCTCCAACCTCATCATAACACAACTTGTGTAGCATCCCTTGCTCTGCATCAGCACTCATAAAAACACAAACATCATAACTGCTCTTCACTTTTGTGACACGTGCTGTAAAGGAAGTCCTTTGTCTCTAATTAAGATGTTTTGTTTGGCTTTGCATATAGGTGTGTTTATGAACAGCACCACTACTCTGATCTTTGTTCCAGCACCCAAAGGAGCCTTTAGTTTTCATTATGCTGGATAATGCTGCCCACTGCTGGTTGTAAAAGGCAACACAGGAGAATAAACATGTTCCTTTTAGTTAAGCACGAGTGCAGTTACTTCAGTCTCTTGTTTATCTTGTATTAGAAGTTTCCAAGGACTTGTAGCTTTTTTTTTTTAAGGCCAGATCACTTTTTATTATGCAATCTAACATGCGGCTCTCCTTACAATCTCCAAATGCTTGTTAAATTCAGAGTGAAGTGATGGTAGAATTTTCCTTATCTGCTGTGCTGATAGTTTAGTCTTTCAAAAGCTGCCATTCAGATGCTCTTCACACAGCACAGAGAAGATAAAATTGTTACATGAGTGCTGACATTACCGAAAAAACTCAGACGTTGGTGGGACATGTGGAATGTGACTCCCTGCAAACTGCATGTACGGCATGAGTAGACCTGAGGGGTGGGCGGTGGGTTGTTGAGGAGTGTTATGTTACGCCACAGAGCAGATCGGCGCTGACTCATGAAGTGATGTCATAGCGACGGGGTACAGTTTCCCCGGGCTGCCATGTTGTCTGAAGCGTTTAAGATGGTGGTATGTGGACGCCCTGTGTGCAAAGAAAAAAGGGGGAGATGGTGGTGTCACAAAGGTCAACCTAAGCAGGGTGCACATCATCTAGAATCCTTTTACATCAGCTGCAGTATCTATTATTCTGGAAAGTTGAACAACAGTCTACTTAACCCTTTGAACCTTAAGCAGTTTCTGGATGTTTTTTGCTCCCGTCACATTTTAACGCACCAACATTTTTCATTTGTTTAATATTTCAATCTGATTTTGATGAAGTGTGATTTTAAGCTTAGAAATTAACTTGATTAACACAAGCCTAAGGTTTTGCGGTTTATGGCTGTGATAAAAGATGTGACTTATTGTTAATATTGTTATTTTATCCATCTCTCTCTCTCTCTGTTGACTTTTCTTTTGTAAGCTAAATCACAGGTGCAGTATTTGAGTTAAGAATTACTGCACACAGAGAGACAAATGTTCCTGTAGATACTCTTGGACTGTGTCGTCAGGTGTAAGTAATGTTCTCGTTCTTTTTTTGTCTTTTTTAGAATAGCGGCAAATGAACCGTCGTTTATGTCGATGCAGCTGAAGATATTAGATCAGCGGCATAAACAAAAATTAAACCTAAAGGCACTAGATGCGGTGCTTTTTGGCCCTCCTCTTCGTAAGTATGCACTGTATTTTAAAATCCAAAACTTCTCTAGCATCACTTTTCATGAACACCAGTGGTCAAATATGGCAACGTATAACAACTGTTCTTTCCTCCCTCTGCAGGTCCACAACATAACTGGATGAAAGACTTCGTCCTGATGGTTTCCATAGTGATTGGCGTTGGGGGCTGCTGGTTTGCCTATGTGCAGAACAAGTCCAGCAAGGTGCATATTTCTCAGATGATGAAGGATCTGGAGAGCCTGCAAAATGCTGAGCAAAGCCTCTTAGACCTGCAGAGCCGGTAAGAGATTCAATTCGTTCAGGTATAGGAAAAACAGTGGTACAAATTTAATGTACACATATTTATAGGAAGAGAAAGGCACTAGTGCTTCACCATGTTGTGTTAGAAGTTTCCATCTTGCCAAGGCCTTTCTGTGCAGATTTTCTGTGTTTTCTCTGAGCCTGCATTGGCTTCCTTTCACAGCCCAAAAACCAGATTAGGGTGATTGGCCAAATTGCCTGTAGGTGATAAAAATCAAGCTTTGATTTGGACTTTATTTCACACGAGGCATTACATTCAAAACTGGTTGGACCTCATCTTATATCTTTCCTCTCACCTCCCAGGCTTGAAAAAGCTCAGGAAGAAAACCGGACGGTGGCTGTAGAGAAGCAGAACCTCGAGCAGAAGATGAGGGATGAGATCACCGGGGCCAAAAAAGAGGCTCACAGGCTTCGAGAACTGCGAGAGGGCGCTGAATGTGAGCTTAGCCGGCTCAAATATGCAGAGGAGGAGCTAGTACAGGTAGATCTTTCCAAACTGCTGGCTTTCCCTAAATGCTACTTGCATACAGATTTATTATCAGTGGAATGCAAAGTAGAGAGATGATTGCTTAAGAGTGGGATGTAATTTTAGCTGCCATGAAAATATGAGGAGTATTCAGTGTATTCATAAGCGTAAGGCAGTCACATTTATGATCATTATGTAAATATGGATTTAAATATTCTATTCAAGACTTGAAAAAAAGAGATGGAGGCTAGTATCTGGGACAACAATGCATATTGATGTAAATGTGTTTATTACTGTGGCCTAAACACCTTGAAATGAAAAGATTAATTTCATATTTTCCACGTTAAATTTTCATTTTTTCCACGAAATGTCTACTTTGCATAACCTCAAGACTGACTCATTTGCCCTCACATAAAAATACAGCACCGAGATATCTAAGAGTTTCTCTCTGCAATGAGTTCTCTCCTTGCACAGGAGCCAGGGTTGGACTATTGTATTTCCACTGCAAATTCAGAATTTACACAGTAAATGCAGTTCATTTGAAATTCAATGAACACCAGCCTTCACTTAGTGTACAGTGTTTGATCAATGATGTTGTGGGAGAAGTTGTTAAATCTTTGGCAGTGAGTCTGACCTGACCCTCATGTATGGTGTTCCTCCCATGCAGGTGCGAAAGGCTCTAAAGCGAGCAGAGAAAGAGATGCAGACGGAGCGCTCGGTGCCTGAAGCTCTTCAGAAGTGGCTCCAGCTCACACATGAAGTGGAAGTTCAGTACTACAACATCAAGAAACAGAGTGCTGAGTTTCAGCTGTGCGTCGCCAAAGACGAGGTAACTTTCTTTCTTCTGACACACAGTACATGGCACAGCTTTTGGCTGGAGAATCTTTGAATCAAAAGCTGTTGTGAGGATGCAGCCAAGGAATGGTCTGTTTCCATGTTTGTTACCACGAAGCTGGCTTGGTAGACTTAATATATACACAGAAGCAATGCTGCAGCTGTGTTGCTCTGCAATTACACCACCAAAACACTAGGTGGCAGTAGAGTCTGTTGACTCCATGATTACGTCTTCTGGTACTTTAAACAATGGCAGCTTAAAAACGCTAAACTTCACTTTTCGCAAAATTATTGCAACGCAGGAAAGATGGAAACAGTAGGAACCCCATTAGGGGTTGGTACAAAACAAAAACAGCACATACGTTGGATCCATACTGACTCATCAAGCTTTAACCTGCAGACATCCGGTATGTGATTTAGAGCCTTTTGCCTTGTTTGACACAACATGAGGTGTTAATGTTTTGAGAATTACCAGTGGAAAGAGATCGATGTTGGCAGTGATTGAACTCATTTGGCTCCTGAGTTGTGTATGGGGCTGTAGTGTAGAACCAGAAGGCAGTAAACAGTGCTTGAAAACAATGACGATATAAAATATGTCTTAATTTGAACACAAAAATGTAAAAGGCATTCAAGATTTCACTCCACAACCTTTGTATGACACTTTTATTCCCTGGGTGTTCAAATCAAAAGCACCATACTGTCTCTTGTTTTTCTTGTCAGCTGGAGCTTAAGCCTAAAGGTGCAGTAAACCATGTTGACTGCTAATGAATAGAAACCTCAGAGCATCAGTCTGCTCTTGTGTGGAAGCTGCCTGACTGGGCAATCATTACTGTAATATTTCGGTTGAGAATGAGACGCACTAATGGCAGTATTCACCCATGATGCAGAAAAATGTATTTTTAAATAAGGGATTTCTATCAATTGGATTAAAGAACACTTTCAAGTTCTCCTCTCCTTTGCATGTCAGAGTTAAATGTGAGTAGGACATTTATGGTAAAATGTTCTCATTGTGTGTCTCTCTTGATAATGAAGCTAAATTTGCATTAAACCTTCACATTGAACTAATAATGTTGACTGCTTGTATCAGTAATGAGTTGACTTCAGCCTCATTGTCATGTATTTTCAGCCATTCCCTCATGACTTGAAATCAGTCCAGCTGCTGCTTAGACAACCTAAGACTTGTTTTAGCCAGGGTTACAGGACAGAAAATTGAGGTGATACAGGCATTTTGTGTAAGCATAGTATCAGTATGGATGTAACACCCATTATGCTTGAAATACATTCAGCTACCAAAGAAAAATGTCAATTATGTGAAATACAACAGGAACAAAAGAGAATATTTACGATTGTTGTCTTTATTCTTTTGTTACATTTCAGGCAGAAAAAATCAAAAAGAAGAGAGGTTCTGTATTTGGAACTCTTCATGTTGCCCACAGTTCATCACTGGATGAGGTGGACCACAAGATACTGGAAGCAAAGTAAGTAACCTCATGTACAAAAGTAGCCAATGATTCAAGTGTCTTTATGTGACAGTACATGCAATGATTGTAAGTGCCAAGTGTTCGACAGGTATAAAGAAATATATTTGGTGTGCCCACTTTTTGCCTTCACAATAGCATGTGTTTTTTTGTTTTTTCTT